TTTTTTTTTTTTTTTTTTTTTTTTTTTTTTTTTTTTTTTTTTTTTTTTTTTTTTTTCGTTTTCATTTATTTATTTATTATATATATATATATATTTTTTTTTTTCTTTCCCGGGTCGTTACAGAAAACAAGTTTTCCGAGCCGAATTAACCGTCGGAGCAGAGAAGCCGCCATCGAAGCCGATCAAGCCGCTGGAGGCGAGGGGGTGTCGCGCTGCAGACGTGCCACATGGCACAACTAGAGGGCGACGAGTGTGCAGTGGTCTCGGGTCAAGGTCGGGTCGTCGGGTCAAGTGCGCGGCTGTCAGGTGGGTCAAACTCTGGATGCAGGTTCTAGTTGCGACGAGCTACAGGGTTTTGGTTGCGGTGGGCTGGGTTGAACCTTACTATTGGGCTGCAGTTTGTTTCGGTGGGCCGAGGGTTGAATCGTTGGGCCGAGAGGTTGTGGATTGCAAGTCAGAGATCGGGTCGGATTTCGTCTTCCTCGCCCGATTACCAGCAAATTTTTCTGGCGACACTCTCTCTCTCCTCGGTCAAGTTGTTCCGATGTCCTTTTTCTTCCTTTTTCCTCCATTTTCGAGTCTCCTCCTCCCTCTAATCCTGTTTATGGTATTTTTTTGGTTCGTAAGGGCCTAACACTCACGAATCTGAGGGGGAGTTCAAAAATTCGACATTCTGTCTCCCTTACTCGATGGTGTACGACGTGTAAGCAACATCGAAATCTACCCCTGGTGTGTGTAAAGGTCTCTGGGGCTGATTTCGTTGCGTAAATTAGAGGTTTCGAAGTCGATTTCGTAAGGTTTGGCTTTGCTGGAGCTTTGTCAGTTTTCTCACTTTCTCATTTTTCTCATTATTTTTCTTTCTTGCAGGTGTCTTGGAGGTGGCTGAAGGTCGGGTTTGGTTTTCATGGTGACCTCGACGTCGGGTGCACTTTGTGGGTCGTGTGCGAACGAAACGCCGGAGTTTTCGGTCCTGCCGATGACAGCGATTTTTTATTTTTTATTTTTTAATAATTTGATCCATTACATTATCTACCCCTAAAAAGAACTTTTGTTCCCAAAAGTCTCAAACTCGTGATCACTTCGAGATATTTTTCCTTTATTTCCTCCTCTCGTTCCCACGTCACTTCCTCTATTGGGTGGTTTCGCCACAATACTTTGATGAACCCTATGTTTCTATTACGTAAGGCTTTCACTTCTCGAGCTAGAATTTTAATTGGTTTCTCCTAATAACTCAAGTTTTCCTCGATCTCGAGGGGTCTGTAGTCTATCAAGTGCGTAGGGTCTGTAATATATTTCCTCAACATGGACATATGAAATAAATCATGTACGCTCGAGAGCGAAGGTGGTAAGGCTAGTTTGCTACTGAACCTATTCTTTCTAAGATTTTGAAAGGTCCGATAAAGCGGGGGCTTAGCTTTCCCTTAAGTCCGAATCTTAGAATGCCTTTCATAGGAGCTACTTTTAGGAACACTGGGTCCCCCTCTTCGAACTCTAAGTTCCTACGCCTATCGTTGGCGTAACTTTTTTGCCTACTTTGTGCGGTGCGCATCCTTGCTCTAATTGTTTGTACCGCCTCGTTGGTGATGCAGACCAACTGGGTCCTACCAATTCTCGTTCTCCTACTTCATTCCAGCACAATGGGGATCTACACCGTTTTCCATATAACGCTTCAAACGGTGTCATCCCGATGGTTGTTTGGAAACTGTTGTTGTACGAGAATTCCATTAAATGTAGTTTAGTGTCCCAACTCCTCGTGAAATCCATAATACATGCCCGAAGCATGTCTTCTAGGATTTTGTTTAATCGTTCCGTTTGACCATCAGTTGGTGGGTGGAAGGCAGTGCTAAAGTCGAGGCGGGTACCCAACGCTTTTGGAGTCCGCGCCAAAAGGCCGACGTAAAACGCGGGTTTGGATTCGACACAATTGATACCAGGACTCCATGCAACCTCACAATTTCTTTCACATACAGTTGAGCCCAATTGTCTACTGTATATGTTGCCTTACCCGGTAGGAAGTGTGCCGACTTTGTCAGACGATCGACAATTACCCAAATTACCGTGCAACCCTTTAGTGTCTTGGGTAGGCTTACTATGAAATCCATGGTAAAATTTTTCCATTTCCATTTTGATACTTGGAGGTTGTAGTAGTCCAGCAGTTTTCTGCCTAGGGGCTTTTACTTATTGACACACCAGACATTTACTCATGTGTTCCGCGATATCCTTTTCCATACTTCGCCACCAGAAGTGTTGTTTCAGGTCTTCATACATCTTTGTACCACCTGGATGTATGGAGAAGGGTGAGTTGTGTGCTTCAGTTTGGAGTTGTTCTTTATTTCGCTCACAGCTGGGACACACAAATGTCCTTGACATAATAGTCCATCATCTGGTGACTTAGAAAAACCACCCACTGGCCTACTGTCAACTGGTCTAGGATTTTATTTAGGCTTGGGTCCTCACGTTGTGAGTCTATAATCCTCTGTCTGAGCGTGGGGCGCACTGTCAGTCGAGCTATTTGGGCTATAACCTCCTTGGTTACTACAGCTATGTCAGCTCGTTCAAAATCTGCTCGCACTCATGGCTCCCTTATGATGAGGGTCGACGAGTATACTGCTTTTCGACTTAGTGCGTTAGCGACTACGTTGTCTCATGTTCAATTCTTTTGTGTGAACAAGTATTTTAGACTTTTATGGTGCGTGTAAATTTGGGTCTTTTCGCCATATAGATAGTGTTGCCAAATTTTTAATGCGAACACCATCGCCACCAACTCCAAATCATGTGTAGGATAGCTTTTCTCGTAATTTTTCAATTGGTGTGACGCATATGCAACTACCTTGCCACGTTGCATCAGTACACAATCCAGCCCTTTTTTGGATGTATCACTGTAAATCACGTATCCCGCAGAGCTTTCTGGGACCGTGAGCACTAGGGTGGACACCAGTCTTTGTTTCAGTTCCTGAAAGATGGCCTCACAAGTATTGCTCCATACAAAAGGTACGCCCTTTTTTGTTAATTGGGTGAGAGGTGAGGATATTCTAGCAAAGTCTTGGACAAACTTTCGATAGTAACCCGCCAATCTCAAGAAAATTCGTATCTCGGTGACCGTAGTTGGGCGTTTCCATTTCTTGACGACTTCTATCTTGGTGGGATCTACTAAAATTCCGTCTTTGGACACTACGTGTCCTAAAAATGAAACCTGTCATAGCCAAAATTCGCATTTGGAGAATTTGGCATACAACTTGTTCTCCCTTAAGATAGTTAGGGCTTTTCGGAGGTGCTCTTGGTGTTCTTGGTTCGTTTTAGAGTATATCAGGATGTTGTCTATGAACACGATCACAAACGTGTCTAAGCACTCCTTAAATACTCGATTCCTTAATTCCATGAACACCGCTGGGGCATTGGTAAGGCCAAAGGACATTACCACAAACTCATAGTAGCCATATCTGGTTCGAAAGGATGTTTTCGGTATATCTCCATTTTTAATCTTAATTTATGGTATCCTGATCGAAGGTCTATTTTGAAAAAAACTGTTGCCTCTCGAAGTTGGTCGAATAGGTCCTCGATGCGGGGTAATGGATATTTATTTTTTACCGTTCTCTTGTTTAATTCCCTGTAGGCAATGCATAGATGCATAGAGCCATCTTTCTTTTTAACAAAAAACACTAGCACACCCCAAGGGGATACGCTAGGTCGAATGAAGCCTTTATCTAATAGGTCTTGTAGGTGCGATTTAAGTTCTTTTAGTTCTGCTGGAGCCATGCGGTATGGCGTTTTAGAGATGGATCCCATTCCTGGTTCCAGTTCTATTTCAAAGTGTACCGCTCGCGTTGGAGGGATTCTCGGGAGGTCCTTTGGAAAGACATCTGTGAATTCGTTTACTATGGGTACCGTATCTATTGTTTTCTCCTTTCCTTTTGTTTTTACTACACAGGCTAGAATCGCCCACCCCCCTTGTTGTACCATGCGTCTGGCTTTCATCATCGATATTATTTTTGGGTGGTGCTTGTGAAGGTTACTTTAAACTTAAAGGTAAGTCCGTTTGGAGGTGTGAATACCCCATTCTTTCTTATGGCAGTCTATGCTAGCGAAGTTTTCGGCTAGCTAGTCCATTCCTAGTATGACGTCAAAATTCGTCATATCTACTACTTTTAGGTCTACGTGGATGGTTCGTCCAGCTATTACCACTTGTCCGTCTTTTACTTTATTTTTCGTGACTAGGTCTACCCCTACTGGGGTACTGATCGACAATACATGTATTAAGGGTTCTACTACAAACCCTGCTTGACTAACAAATGGCGAAGAAACAAATGAATGGGTAGAACCCGAATCAAACAACATCAATGCAAAGTGTCCTAGTATAGAAAGCATACCTGTCACCATGGTGCCAGACGTTCCCACCTCTTTACTGGTCGTTGCATAAGCCCTGATCTGTGCGCGGGTTTGCATGGTGGGTTCTCGAATGATCGGACCTCTAAGGGGTTCCCTTGGGTTTCCCGTGTCCCTTGCAGGGCAAGCTCTGGCCACGTGACCTGCACAACTACATTTATAACACACACCAGAGCCTACCAAACATCTGCCACTATGTTGTTTTCCATAGTGGTGGCACATGGGTTTTTTCGGTACTAGGTATCGGGCTATTGGGAGCGAAGCAGGTGCCCTGTTCTTATGTTGAGGTCTCTAGAGTGGTGGTTGGAATTCCTTGGGTCCAACCTCAACAGGGCGTTTCTTTCCTATGACAACTGTTGGGTCCGGATTTTTCTCCTCCAGAGGTTCCTCCAAAGCCTTGGCCGTCCTTAGGGCCTCTTCGTATGTTTTCGGGTTAAGTGCCTCCAACATGCGGCGGGCCTTCGGGTTCAACCCCAACACAAATTTCTCCGTCTGTTTCTCTTTAGTGTCTGCTAGTGACGGTGTGAACCTTGTTAATCTCATGAATTCCTGATCATACTGGTCCACCGTGCATTCACCTTGGGTCAGGTGGTTAAATTCTTGTTGTTTCTTTATACGGGTTTCCTTTGGATAGTAATATTTCAGGAAAGCTTCCTTAAAGGTTTCCCACGTTGTGATCCCCTCTCCTAGGTTGATATTCTGTTTATTATCTGCCCACCACACTTCTGCGTCTTTTTGCAGTACATATACCGCACATGCTACTTTATGTTCATCAGGGCATCTCATTGATTCAAAGGTCGTTTCCATGTTTGCGATCCACATCTGAGCTGTTGTGGGATCTTCCTTTGAATTGACAAAAGGACGGGGGTTATACCGTCTGAAGTCTTTTAGCCAACTCGCCCCCCTGTCCGATTGTGGATTTTTGGTCGGTTGTGTGGCTGTCGCATCCATCGGTTGCGTGGCCATCGTTGGCTGGTTGCATGGCCATTGTTGCGACTTGTTGCATAGCTAACAATGTGGCCTGTTGTGTGGCAACCATTGTTTGGATTGTCGTTTGGATTGACTCCAACATCAATCTTGTGGCTGGGTCTAACCCAGCCTATGGTGCAGCTTGAGGGGGCGGTGCGTTTTCTAGAGGGGGTGCAGCTTGTGGGGGAGGTGCGAGGGGGTACAACTTGATGGGGAGGTTTGTATTCAGGAGGAGGTGCAGCATGTGGTGGAGGTTCGTATTCAGGAGGTAGCTCGAACGCATAGGGTTCAGTAGTCGACCCTTATTGGGAAGAGCTTCTTTCGACTTCTCTTCTTCCCCATCCCCTAATGGGAGATCGTCCTCTCCCTCTCCTACCTCTTCTATGCCCTCTGTGCGACATGGTTCTAGAAACCAAGAAAATGATTCTGTCTAAGTCTATGATTTACTTATAACATTACTTACATTCTACTATATAATTCAAGGAAAAGAAAACATAAATGTCGTATCATAAAGACATGCATTGATACAAGATCACATCATAGCATAAAATCATAAAGTATCATGTCATTCATTTTTTTAAAGCCAATCACATTAAATATACTACAAAAAAAAAAAAAATATTCGTCCTTCCCTCATCCACGCAAGGTGTACCTGACAACGACGGAGCATCGGCGATTGGACCGTGGAACATGCCAAGCCTACATCGTAGGCTAGTCTACAAGATCTATTAACTTGTCTACCCCCTTTGGGGAACAGCGAGAAGGCTGACACATCGTTCGGTGTCTGGCTCTGATACCATTTGTAACGACCCAAATCCACTGTCGTTACAAAATCATTTGAATGAGGCATCAAAACGATAACTAACCCTTCATTCAGTGGAAGATTAAAACACAAGGTCTTAACATAAGCTGAAATTTGGTAGAATTCGTTGGGAGAAGAGAACTTTGTATAACTATGAATAAATGCTTAATTGATTTTCTACTCCTTTCACCAATGCCAACATACATACATACATATATATATAGGTAATTGGGGACATTTCCCATTACCATTCATTATCGAAAAATCATGCACCTAATTAATTATGAACTAATGAACCTACATGTATCTATTCATACATGTCCTTATACATGTATCTACAAGTGACCCTTCAATGCATGTATCTATTCATACATGTCCTTATACATGTATCTACAAGTGACCCTTCAATGCATGTATCTATTCATACATGTATCTACAAGTGACACTTCAACACCCTCCCTTAAACTAAATTCTGCAAAAATCAGTTTAGGACTTCACTTCATCTTCTTAAACTACGTCTTAGATTCTGCACATCACCATCTTTCTTCTAAGCTTCCCGAACAATTATTGGTTTAAATCCTTTGTGAATAGATCAGCGATTTGTTCACACTTCAGCAAAAATGATGTTCAATAGTGCCTTCTTTACACAAATCACGCAAGAATTGAAATCGAACATCGATGTGCTTACTCCTTCCATGCAACACAGGATTTTTAGACAACTTAATAGTTGACATATTATCACAATATATAACCGTCGTACCTGATTGCTTCTGATTAAGAATTTCAAGCATCTTTCTTAACCAAATTGCTTGGCACGAGCATGCTGCTGCTGCCACAAACGCTGCTTCTATAGTTGAGAGTGTTACAATAGGTTGCTTCTTTGAAGACCAGCAAATATGTCCTAAACTCATCATGAAAATACTTCATGAAGTACTTTTACGATCATCTATATCACCTACATAGTCGCTATCTGTATAGCCAACCATCTTCGAATCATCTCCTTTCTTATAGAATACCCCCAAATCAAAAGTTTCTCTCACATAATGAAGTATTCTTCTTGCTGGATTGAGATGTTTTCCCGTTGGATGCTCCATGTAGCGACTTATCATACTAAATGCATACATGATGTCTAGTCTTGTTCAAGTTAAGTACATCAAAGTTCTCACAATTTGCTTGAAGTACCTATTATCAACCTCTCTCCCTTCAATATATTTGTGCAACTTCAAACCCAATTCTGATGGAGTTTCAAATGTGCACTCATCCATTTTAAATCTTTCAAGTAACTCTTGAGCATATTTCTTCTGACAGATAAAGTTACCAACGACAATTTGAGTAACTTCTACTCCAAGAAAATATCTCATCAAACCAAGATCTGTCATTTCAAATTCTTTCATCATGCTCTTCTTAAAAAGTTCAAACATTTCTTCGTTATTGCTAGTAAATATTAAATCAACAACATATAAGCAAATAATGAGAATGTTACCTCCCTTTTTAGTTTTCACATACAACGTATGTTCATATGGACATTTAGTGAATCCCATCTTTTCAAAATGATAGTCAATGGGACTGTACCATGCTCTCGGAGCTTGCTTCAAACCATACAGAGCTTTCTTCAACCTATACACTTTTTCTTCTTTACATTTTTTAACAAAACCTTCTGGTTGCTCCACATATACCTCTTCTTGGAGTTCTCAATCTAAGAAGGCCATGATTTTTGTGCTGTAATAGAAATTATAAGCCTTATAGTATCTTGACATGGTACTAGTGAAAATGCCTCTTTAAAACCAACTTCATACTTCTGCTTGTATCCTTTTGCAACTAGTCGTGTCTTGTACTTATCCACCTCACCGTGTTCATTCAACTTGGTTCTGAAAATCCATTTTACTCCAATTGTTTTTTTTCCATTTAGGAAAATCAGTGAGCTCTCAAGTCTTATTCTTCTCTATGGATTTGATTTCACTTCTCTCCATTTCTTCTCCTTTACAAAGCTTCTTCATAGACAATTGGATCATTATCCATAAAAAATGTAAAATAAGCACTATCACTTGAGTCATAGTCCATCTCATAATCAATCATCCATGTTGGTCTCCTTCTTGTTCTTGGATTTCTTTGATTGTGATCACAATTTTCTTCTTCTACTAGATCTTCTTGTTGAGCTTGTGATGAGCTCTCTCCAAACTCATAGTGAGGCTGAATAGGGGCGCCAACTTGTTCTTCTTCAAGTTCTACAGGAATCTGCTGATTCACAATGATTTTTTCTTCCCATGTCCAAGTTTTCTTTTAGTCAAAGATTACATCGCGACTTACCACCACCTTCTTTGTCAAAGGGGATCATAGAGCTTGTACGCCTTAGAAGTCTCGCTTAATCCAAGGAACACACATTTCAAACTCTTGCCCTCAAGTTTCTTCCTTTTCTCATCTGGAACGTGTGCATATGCTATGCACCCAAAGATTCTAAAGTGGTCTACCGTGGGCTTCCTTCTGCTCCATGCTACTTATGGAGTCATATCTCTAACAGAGAAAATAGGGCTCTGGTTGAGAATGTGAACATACCACACAACAGCTTCTGACCAAATTCCTTCGAGACTTCTCCTTTATTTAGCAAACTTCGAACCATGTTGAGAATGATCATGTTTTTCCTTTCAGCCACACCATTTTGTTGTGGTGTATATGCTGCTGTCAACTGCCTCTTATGCCATTCTCTTCACAAAATTTCGTAACTCACTAGAGCAAAACTATGCACCTCTGTTAGTTCTTAAAGCCTTCACTCTTCCTCAAGTTTTAGTCTTCATAGTAGCACAAAATTTCTTGAAGAAATCAAAGGCTTTTGATTTGGCGTGCAAGAAGTAAATCCATGTTTTTCTACTAAAATCATCGATGAGGGTCATGAAATATTTCTTGTTACCATTTGATGCTGGAGAGATGGGACCACATATGTTTGAATGTAAACTCCAAAATTGCTTAAGCTCTTCTCGATTTTCAAGATAGAAAAGAATTTCTTTCATGTTTTGCTACCACACAGCTCTCACATATTTCTGTTGGAGGAGAGATGTATGGCAACCCAGTCACCATCTTCTTTGAAGACAACGTCTTTAACCCTTTAATGTATAGATGACCATACCTAAAATGCCAATGACAGTTGGTATCTTCTTTCTTCACAATCAAACTTCTGGCGACGATATTTAACATCAATGGATATAAGCGGTTGGTGGTCATCAACATCTTAGCAATCGATCCTCTTCTGGAGTCATAAATCTCACGTTCATTAGTTTGGAATGTGATCACATACCCCTTTTCTTGCAATTGACCGACACTAAGCAAGTTGACCTTCAAATCAGGAATGTAGAACACATTAGAAATTGACTCTACAAAGCCATTTCTAGTCTAGATATCTACTGTTCCTCTCCCCATCACTTGGACAGTTGAATTGTTGCCAAGACAAACAGTAGTATTAAAATTTTCATCCGTTAGAAGAATTTCTTACAACATGTCATATGGTTGCTGCATCCAGAGTCTACGACCCATACACTTTGATCTGCAACCTTCATAGCATGGAATGACATTAACAATGTTTCTTCTCTTTTATCTGCAAAGTTGGATTGATCTCTTTTCTCCTTTTGGAGCCTGATATAACATTCATTCTTGTAATGTTCAAGGCGTCCACATCTGTAGCATTCCACCTTAGACTTGTCAAAATGTCTCTTGCCTTTGTTATCATAATCGTCACTGACTAGATCTGCTGAATTGTTGCCAAGATAAACAGTAGTATGAAAATTTTCATCCAGAGTTGAGAAGAATTCCTTACAACCTGTCATATAGTTGCTGCATTCAGCGTCTACGACCTATACACCTTGATCTGCAACCTTCATAGCATAAAATGACATTAACAATGTTTCTTCTTCTCTTTTCTCCGTAAAGTTGGATTGATCTCTTTTCTCCTTTTGGAGCCTGGTATAACATTCATTCTTGTAATGTCCAAGACGTTCACATCTGTAGCATTCCACCTTAGACTTGTCAAAATGTCTCTTGCCTTTGTTATCATAATCGTCTCTGTCTAGACTGCTGACTTGCCAACATCTCCACTTCTTTCTCGACCACCTCTTCAATGACCTCTGCCTCTTCTTTGCCCTCTACCTCTAGAGCTTGAAGTTTCACCTGGTGTGGATATCTTTAAGGCTGTCATCTCCTCTATTGC